GGGAATTTGACCATGTTTGGAATTGATCCCGTTTTTGTTTTTCACGTTTTTTGAGAAAAAAAAATGAAAACATTTCTAAAATGGCGTTTGGCGCAATAAAGACAAAAAATGAAAACAATTTTTTGATCTAGTGTAAAATGAGAGAGAAATGAAAAACGACTTTTAATCGTTTTTCATTTTTTGTTTTCATTTTCTCCTCTCTCTAGCAAAGAGAAAGAGAGAGAGACATTAATGGATTTTTTTATACTGAAAACAATCTCTTGATAAAACTACAAAACGCATTTTTAAAAATAATTTTTGTCTGAGATTGAAAACATTTTCATTTTCTTTTTCATACAAAAAAACAAAATCAATTTAGAACGAGTTCCAAACGCACCCTTTGTATCCTCATCTCAAAAAAACCAATTTGAAGTTGTAACTACAACATATGTACATGTTTCTTGGGAAATAGGGGAAATCATTGAAGAGGTTATACATCACGAAAGGTAGTTTTCCATTATACATCTGTTTAGCATGTCAATTCTTGACCTATAGGATAAATACAACCAAAAAAAAAAGCAACACAAAACCAACTAAGGAAACAAATCTGTGCAAATATACCCGAACAAGGAAATGGAATAAGTAAAAAGAAACTACAAAAAAAAAAAAAAAAAAAAAAAAAAAAAAAAAAAAAAAAAAAAACGAGTCAAAAGTACAGACTTGTCGTTGCAAGTGAGGAATTACCATATTGGAATATTTCAATATGTGCAACCAAAAATAGAAACACTACACAACCAAAGGTACAAACAAGTCAAGCATAGAATACCTCATCGGAATGGCTTCGCATGTGTTGCTTCAAATATGCAGGTTTCTTGAAGCTGGCACCACATTTTTCGCAAGTATTTGTTTGTTTTACACCTTCTTTTGTCTCTCCTGTCTCGGCCCTCTTCTCCATTTCATCCTAAACGACGGGAAAAAAATTAGAATACGGCAAAAAAAAATGCAAAAATACTTTTTGAACATTGAAAACGATATTAAAATTGAAAACACGCACACAGGTATATAAGAACTCCTATTTTATTGGAATAAGAAAACGAATTTTTGCGTTAATTAGGTTTCCAATATATAAACCGCTCATCAATATTTAGTATTTACGCAGATGAAATCGATCTAATCGCTAAATTATCTGCAAATTCCTTTTTCGCATAGAATCGGAAACCATATTATTCTCTCGCAAATTATGATGACGAAATTGAAAGAAACTTTTACAACTTCATAGCAATTTATTAGAGGGCTGAGAAGGAGAAAGAAGAAACCTTATGATGAGTGAGGACGTGAGAGGCGATAAGAGATTTCTTGGACCTGCAGATGCCACAGTGATCGCAGAAATACCGCCTTATGTCCCTGAATATCGGCATCTTCTCTCCCGCTTCCTCCATCCCTCTCTACCCAGCCAGATAACAGAACGGCGCAAGCAAATGCTTTGTTGCGAGAGGGAGGAGGAGGATATAAGAGCCCTAAATATGGCCCAATAGTTATTGAACCAAACATTGAGGCCCAATAGTTATTGAGCCAAACATTGGAGCCCAATAAGTATCAACGCATCTCAAAGCCTTTTAGAGGGGCGCTGCGCAATAATAATTGAGAGAAGGAAAAAAAAAAACTAAAAAATGTTTAGGACAGAAACAAAAATACCACTCAACATAATTAACGTCATTACACACAAAAAACAACTCTCATGTGAAAAAGGAAAGATAAATAAAATGAGCACTAAAGGAAAAAAGAAAAAGTTTTTCTTCATCAGCTCTCAATAATGTCATCTCCTAGTTTTGGAAAGTACGTGTGAAATTGACAGACAAAAATAGTGCAATACATCATACAGGGAATATTGAATTCAACAATTAATTATTCAACAACAAAAAAAGAATTCAACAATTAATTAGTGTAAGTGTGATGATATATATGTGGAAAAGAAAATGTCTTTCCACCAATCAGGGCGCAAAGGAAACTATGAAAGAAGATAAAGGTGAAGATGAGACTTGAGAGCAAATAAAAAGTATTAATCTTACAAATATTTAACACCAAGTTAACATAATCTCACTTTAGTTTTTGATTTTTTAAATGTTATATAGTTAGTTTATGAAGTTTTTTTATTTCAATACCGGTCATTATGTTAACTTGGTGTTAAATGTTTAATAGAATATGTAAAAATTATATACTAAAATTAAAAACATATAAAGTTTAGATACAAACAATATAAGAAACTAAAAGTTAATTTCTACATGTATACTCAAAATTTTTTATTTGTTTCTAATTTTGAACTCTAATTTACACATATTCTATCAAATTTTAACGTCTAATTGATAGAATGACTAAAACTAAAATAAAATAAAACCTCATAAATCATTTGTACAACGTTTGAAAAGTCAATAACTAAAATAGAATTGAGTGTTAACTTAAAGAACCATTCATGAAATTAACCCAAATAAAAAAAGGTGTGGGAGAGAGAATATAATATAACGTATAACACTATTAAAAGCGGTAAAAAAGGTGTGAGAGAGAGAATATAACATAACATATAACACTATTAAAAGCGGCATCTTTTCGTTTAAACACTAGTAAAAGCAATAAAAGTATGGTTGTACATGGGTTAGGTTTGTGCATAGTAGGATTTTTTTTTACCCCGCTTTAAATGGTATGAGTTGCACATATTTGGCCCCAACAATGTTAAAAAAATTTCACAACCCAATGATGTTTGGGTTGGGGCGGGCGGGGTGGGTTGGGTGGTCGGGTTCATCATTCAAAGAATCAAAATTCAATCCAACATTCAAAGTTCATTATCAAATAGAAATAATAACTCCAACATTCAAAGTTCGTCATCAAATAATATTGATCATCAAATAGAAATAATACTGATAATCAAACATAACTCCAACATTCAAAGTCATCATCAAATATAAATAATACTTATTAGTCCATCATTAAATAGATAGCAATTCAAAGTTCAATCCAACATCAAACATGAAGCAAAGTAGTCAATCCAACATCAAATATAAAGCAAACATACATTATAGGCTTAATTCAAATCCATCCAAAGCAAACACTACAACAGCAACAATCTTTATCAGTCTACACTTATAGGCTCCTTATAAGGCATGTTTGTGCGGATTAGGTTGGGGTATGCGGGTTATTATAGACCCAACCCACAAATCGTTTTAAACATCTCAGGCCAGACATTTAGTGGGCTGAAAAATAAAAAATAATGCTATAAGTTACCTTTTTTGGGTTGAGTTAGGATGAGGTGGATTAGATTTGTGGGTTGTTCTGGTTTATGTACACCCTAGATAAAGGAAAAAAAATGAATGTTTGCTCAACAGTAATTTATCAACAATTTACACATAGATTTTATGGTAAGTTGTCTGTTTAACTTTTTTTAAACTATCTTTAGCATTCATTTTAGCTTATTCATGAATTACAGTAATATTATTACTTCATTCTATTTATACCATATTCAGTTAGTATTATCGATGAAAATGTTGATGTCGACAGTATCGAGGTTTTGATTTAAGGATAATGTTGCGAAAATATCGATGTCAACGGATATTTCAGAAAAATAGATACTTTAAAAAAAACCATAAAACTTTTCTATTAAAACTATAAAAAAATGTTAAAAACAATCAATATTACTTAATTTAAACTAATTTAATAATAAAAATAGTACATTTTGGTCGAAAAAATGAGATTTATGTCAAATAGTGTAGTAAGAAATTATCATTATTATATATAGATTGTGATTCAAATATAATTTTACATACTTAATACAAACAAGACAAAATTATTCAATATATTACGTGAAAATTAACTACCAAACATATTAGAGCTCACACAAACTTAAAGTGCTTTCAATATTGAAATGAGTTTATAGCATGTTGGAAAGCATTAGATAGGTTATCATCTTGATCTAAACAATACATTTGCCAATATATTACCCTTGAATAAGGTAGTTGTTGATGTGTCTCAGATCTTTTCCCAATGTTAACTCATAATAGATACTGCTAGTTTATCCAGCTTGACAAACAGTTTTTAAGGATGCATAATGACATTTCGACACTGACTTGTGGTGGAATACACTAATATATTAAACAAACCATCTTAGTTTTGTACTTCTGAAGTAGATCCCAATCGAGAACTATATGGATGATTATAACCATATGAACTTTTTTCAGTTCCTAAGCTCATAAAATCAAAACTCAAGGCCACATAATCCTCATCAATTTGGCTGATTTGAATCACACCACATGTTCTTATAAATTGTTTTCCAATGGCCCAGTACCAGGACTTGCTCACCTACATCCATGATCTTCATCTGGTAGCATGGTACAATCTTCTTCTTAGTGAATAGACTTAAAAGTATTTGAATATGAGTTATTCATTTAAAAAGTAAAAATTATTTTAAAAACTAATTAAGTCCTAATATTTTTTATTATTTTTTGTTTTGAATCATCGTTGTCACATTTTATTTAAAAAAATAGGAAAAAAATGTGCTACAAAATTGATTTTTGTGTAAAAGAATTCTTTCAATGTTTTTGGACATTTTGTGGATATTTTTAAAAATGTCTTAGATATTTACATATATTCACGATATTTTTGGACATATATTTTATAGACATGTCGGAAAGAATATTTTTCCCTTAGTTATTCATATTGAGACTTCAAAATATAAATAATGTCGTGAAAATATCAACAACATCTTGGACATTTTCATCCCTTGTTAGTATCATCACTCACAAGTATGATTTTAGTTTATTTTATGTTTACTTAATAATTAAAACATATACTATTCGTCCTATATTTTATTTTGGGTCAGATTTTGTAGTCAACCGAAATATTTATTCCGCATCTTATGGGAGCCTTCTGATTAAGCAAAATCTAGATGACAAATTCAACATAAATCACTTTATTAAAAAGGACTATTGTCTCATTTTTGTCCTGATTCGAGTCCCAGACATAATCCATCATTGTTACTTGAAGGCCACAAATCTAACGCATGTCACCAAAATAAAAAGGCCCTACATAATTTAAAAATAAGAAATACTAATATTTTAAAAATGATAGATAAAATATTGCTAGCATTTCACATCTGAAAAGCATCTAAAATAGTTCCCGCACAAATAAAAAAAAAAAAACAAAGGAGATGTCTATAGTAAGGTGACTCCCTTTTTCTCTACTAATAGAGTGAGATTCAAAGAATCTCAGTGAGGGAATTGGATCTCAGTGAGGGCCCCTGTAGTCTCCTCCACATCTAATTATAACTCAAACACAATAAAAATAATTATAAAAACAACCCTTTCTTTTATCAAATTACAATTTATCACCCCATCTTTTACATAATAACAAAAATAACCTTTCTCTTAAAAATTTCTCCTAAAACAAATCTCACTAGTTTTTTGTTTTTTTAAACCACCCATTACCCTTGGCGGCAAAACTCACTGTCACCGGAACAGTAAATTTTCAACAAAAACAAAAATCAAAATTCAAACACAGAACTCTGAAATCTTCCTTGACACCGACAACTTGACCGTCAACTACCACTACCGGCGGCACCACTGCCTTACTGAAACAGTAAAAAATGCACAAAAATTCAAACAATTCACAAAAGTAGTATTCTCTAAAATCAATTCACCACTGCCAACAATTTTGTTAATATTGATTTATATCTTTACCTAAAGAACACCAAAATAATCACAAGATTAAACCTATTACTACACTCATTATCAACTTCAACAAATATACATTGATTTTATAAACCAAAAATCAAACTAATTAGAAAAAATTCACAAAATTTTTGCTTAAAATAATAAACTTATGTGTATAATACATTAGCTTCAAGATATGAAAAATAAGGTGTGAAACCCAAATTCCGGCATGAATCCATGTGGGGGTCTCGGTGTTCATTTTTTGGGGCGCTCTACCCACGTTCGCGAGAAGGCCCATGGAGTGGCGAGAGTGATGGGCTCGAAAACGGACCCACAGAGCGGTGAAGATGTTGGCGTGGCAGGGGTCACAGACGGAGGATTGACGAGTATCGCAAGGAAGGACCGAACCAGGGGTGGCGCGTGGTGAAATGCTCCTAGAAATTTTAGGGTTTTTTAGAAGACGTTTGGTTTATTGATTTATAACCATTCTCAGTTTACGTATGTTTTTGTGAGAGAAAATACTGTAGTGAGCCACGAACTATAATCCAAATCATGACACGAATCATTGTTCCAAACGCACCTGTTTCTATGATGTTAGTGTTAGTAGTTGAAGGGTTAAGATCTAAAGTTTATTAGATTTACGGTTGAGATTTCATTAGACACAAATTAATATTTTATGAAATAGGGGTTGAATTATAATTAAAGAACTTGAAAGTAATATTGTAATCAAATGCACTTGGTTTTATTAGTTTTTATGAGCACCATCATCTTTGACCCTTGCTTTTTCATCTAATGGTCCGTATTACACACCATACAGAAAAAGAGAGGCACCCTACCATAGACTTATCCATAAAACAAAAAAAAAGAAAAAAAAAAAAGATTCGTTTTTCATGCGACCCATATTTTTTCCGTTGCTTTTTGCTCTCTCTCTCTCTCTCTCTCTCTCTCTCTCTCTCTCTCGTGGATATTTCGCAACAACCAACGAGAACGAGTGAAGCGTCGTCCACCAATTATCAAAAAAAGAAACAAAAAAAAAAGCGTCGTCCACTTAAAAGAATATTTTATGAATAAATAATTTTTTTAAAAAAAAAAAAGAAAAGAGAAAGTTAGCGGCCACTGAGGAGAGTTCAAACCAAGCAAGCTGGCATCACTCTCGGGACTTAACTGTACAAATTGGCATTTCTTCTTCTTCGTATAAAACAACCGACCGACGACCTTTGACACGTGATCTTCTTTATTTCTTCTTCTTCTTCTTCTTCTTCTTCTTCACACCACCATGTGTCTATTTTCTCCATTACCAAACACGGACAATCATTTTTTAATTTAATTTAATTCAATTCAATTACCCAAAAAACAATTATTAAAAATTCCATAAATCATTCCAATCCAGTCTCTATCTTTCTCTTTCTATCCATTATTTAACCGCCACGAAATCACTTCTCACCTTTTGTTTCTCGAGAAAAAAAAAAGAAAACAACTTTTCTTTGCTTTCTCGAGAAAATTAAACTCAATTACGCCGCTAAATTTCGAAATCCGCTAAATGTTTCTCAAGCCCAGATCTTGACCCCTCCCTCCTTCCTCACCGGAACCCTAGCTTTTCTCTACCGCAATGCATGGCTACAGCCGCCTCGGTACCCGCGGCGGCGGCGGCGGCGGCTCGCCACCGTCGTCGCCGCGGTTCCGCCATGGCAGGAGCAAGAGCGGAGGAGGCGGAAGGGGATCGAAGCAGAGCGTGATGGAGAGGATCGTGCTCTTGCTGATTTCGGCGATGTTTCGGAGGAGAGGCGTGCTGTTGCTGGCTCCGCTGCTGTACATTTCCGGAATGCTGCTTTACATGGGCTCGGTGAGCTTCGACGTCGTCGGGATAAAAAACGGCGTTGTCGTGGTCCACAAGCGCCACCCGCCGGGCTCCGTGTATCGGAGTCCTCAGGTCTTCGAGAAGCTCTGGCCTTTTATGCAAGCCGAGAGCAATGGAAGTGAAAACGCGGTACTGTTTTCTTATTTTCAGCTCAATTTGGGGAAAAAGGACATTTTTAATGTAATTACGAAGCAAATCTTTTAAGTCAAGTAGCTTCTGAGTGCTTTCTGCTTAGCATTGTGAAAGGCTTTGAAATTTGTCTGTCAATTTAGTTTTGGAATTGAAAATAGTGGTTTGACAAGAACAAAAAAAAGGGGTCAATTGTATCCAATTTGATAAACTGACTGTTTATGGATGGAAAATGCGCAGATGATGTCAGTGTGGAATTCTACAGTGCATCAAGTTTGGAAGCCTTGTCTTCACAGGGACATCCCAAAAGCAGGTCTGAGTTTTCTGAATAAGAATCATACTTACCTTTTTAATCGCTAGATTACTGTTCTAATTGCTTGCCTGGAAGTTTCTTGATTGAAATTGTTGTATTTTTGTTTTATTACTCTTTTGTGATGTGCCTTAAAGCTTGGAGTCTTAAGTCTCGGAAGTCAGATGAAACAGCTTATTGCATGGCCGTTTACACCTAAGAAGAGACGCAAATGTATACCAAGACGGTTTACATAAACATATCCTGCTTCTTGCACATGCCGCATGTCTCAAATTATGCTGCCCATTTATCACATTTTTCCTTTTGTTCTAATTTCTGAACGTCTACACCTTTAACTTAATATATGGAGTTAGAACGACAATTAGACTTTCATTTTTGGTCTTGTTTTATAATCCTTTAGGACAACAAGTCAAATTGAATATTTTGTGTTTTTAAATAAGAATAAGCTGTTGTTAAATCGCCTCTTTTTTTTTTTTTTTTTTTTTTTCGGTATTCCAGGACTGCCAAAGTCAAATGGGTTCTTCATAATTGAAGCAAATGGTGGGTTAAACCAGCAACGTCTGTCGGTATGTTTTCCTTAACACTTAACAGTTATTTTCTGGTTATAATGCACCTCTGCGCTTAAAACCAACACCATGGAGAGGACAAAAGGAAGAAAAATCCATGAATTTCTTAGCGGATATCTATCTGTAGCCCCTGGTCAGGATGTACTACGTTGAAAAAAAACAAAAACATAGCAAGGCCCATATATGGGCAATCTATAAGACACCGATTCGAAAACACAAGCAACTCAACTTAAGCACAATAAAGAAAGTAAACCACCTAAGTGACTTGTGTTATGCAAATTGTTTTGCCTAAGAATGTTGCTAGTCCGAACAGTTATTGCACCAGCACTTCAAATTTCAAAACCTATATTGGTTTTCAATTGTTGGACATGCTGATAGAATTCTATATTCCAGTTTCTATAGGTCGTCATTATTCTTCTTTGGACAATTTTTTCTTACACTTCTATTGCAGATCTGTGATGCGGTGGCTGTGGCTGGACTATTGAATGCAACGCTTTTAATTCCAATTTTTCATTTAAATAGTGTGTGGCGAGACTCCAGGTGATTATTTCATGCTTTATCATTATTACCCCTGTAGTTCTTCTCGTCTTAAAAAAAAAAAAGAACTTTAAGAAACAAAGACAGAGAAAGAGGGAGAGAAACACATGCCTTTAGATGCAAACTATGCCATTAGTTTCATGGCCCTGGATAATTTTGCATATAGTCAAAATTATGATTAATTATCCTTGTACAACATATATATTTTCCTTTGGCTAAGAGAGGTTTATCAACATTTTAGGCACTATTCAGATGGTTTTGTCTTAGACAGAGGGAAGAAGAAACAGAATTCATAACTTTTCAGTGATTGTAGTTTTATCAACATTTTAGGCACTATTCAGATGGTTTTGTTTTTTGTTTTAGACAAAGGGAAGAAGAAACAGAGTTCATAACTTTTCAGTTATTGTAGTTAACAATAGCTTGCTGTCAACATAAGAAAATTAAGATTAAATTCTCTGTGTTTTTACTTATGAAAAGTCAAAAGAGGTAAAACTAGAAATAAAAAAGTTCCATTAGATTTCAAAGCAGCTTTGCTCGTTTTTGTTCGAAGCTCTTATTGGAGAAGCCAGTGGCAGTTAGCTACTCAGCTTCTATAAGAAGCTCTTTGAGATGAATAGAGCTCTTCTGATACTCATAAATGCGCTTTTGAAGCATCTCAAAGTAACAAAAAGTAGAAAGTTACCACATTTTGATCGTAAAGTGTACTTATATGACCTTACAGGTTTTGTTTTGCTCTGTGGTTGCTTAATTGGGTTTTGTGCTTTGGGACATGATATCAGACAACAGAGAGAAAAATATTGTTGATACTATTACCAAAATGGATGGGATAATAATCTAAGAAGTTTCACGGTTAATTAAGATTTTTCTGGGTGGTTTATCTCATTTGTTCTGCATGAGATAACTGTTTACATCTGTTTCTCTGTTTTATGTCATCTTATTCGTTCTGCACGAGGTAGATCATTTATATAGGGTTTCCAACTTGCAGCAACTTCAGGGACATATTTGATGAAGATTTCTTTATACATACGCTCAGACATCACGTGAATGTGGTCAGAGAGCTCCCGGAAGATATACTACAGCGGTTTGATAATAATATAAGCAACATTGTGAATCTGAGAGTAAAAGCTTGGTCAAGTCCAACCTACTATCTACATAAGGTCCTCCCAAAGTTGATGAACATGGGGTGCGTGCATTCTTTTTTATTTTTTTATTTTGGCCTCCTTAAATCTGTTTGCATTGTTGCACTATAAATAGGTTTTAAATTCAATATCATGACTACTTGCAAGAATTTTGATTTTAAGTACTGAAAACCATCCATTTTTTTAAGGATGCTGCTATAAGCAATTACTTTGATCTTAAAATTTCTTGATACTTTTTTACCCTGTTTCTATGATGATTTTTGCATTATCTATGATTCTGATTTTCTCTATGTACATTTGTGAGATATTTGCCATTGTGCCACTTGCCATATGCGCTAAGTTGTTGATTTTTTTAAATGGATTTAGTTATGTCGAGTGTGTCTGATGTAGGACCCATAGAAAGGAAGAGCAAGAGGGAGAACAGAGGAAGAGGAGATAAAAGAAGGGGATAGAAAAGAATCTAGAAGGATTAATTAGAGAGAAGAAGATAACAATAGAGAGAGAATATGAATATTCAATATCATTAATCAAGTCTGAAACTAATGAACATAGAAAGGTCTATTTATAGGCATATAAGTCCTAATAGTGATCAAACTCCTAATAATTTTTGGTAATTGGCACGGATGGTCACTAACCTCTTTAGTAGGTGACAGTTTGGTTCCTATTTTTTAATTTTGGCAAAATGGTCCCCAATGTCGTTAAATAGGTGCAATTAAGTCATTTTCGTCCAAATCCATCAAATTACCCACGTTAAAACCCATGTGACCCCCGAAAAGACGAAATTGCCCTAAACCCATCTCCTAAATTCGTATCATTCTAATCTGATAATTAAAAGTTAGGGTTTTCTGAAAAAGGGGTTTCTTCTGAGAGAAATTGGGAGAGCATCTACTTTGGATGATGGGTTATGGCGATGATGATGAAATGGGTAAGCTGATGATAATAATGATTAATGGCTCAACAAAGCATGCCCAACAATGCCAACAAGAATGGCGGCGGCCAACAACAACACCAACACGAACAGCACAATCAACAACAAAAGCACGAGAATTAGCTTCTACTGGTGAAGCCCATTTTCCACGACTTCTTCGGCGCCAAGCCCAATGACTTCTCCGCCCTTGTCTTCAGCCCAAAAGCCACTGAGCTCTCCCCCTCCGCCTCCGTTGGGGCTTCCTTCGCCTCCTTTGGGGCTTCCTTCGCCGGCGGTCGTGGCCCCATCTCCACCACCTTTGATCTGCCCTCCGGTCTCTCTCTCTCTCTCTCTCTCTCTCTCTCTCTTTCTGTTGAAATCATACCTCTGTCTCCATCACTCTCTATTTTTCTTTTTCCAAAAATCTCTTTTTGAAAGCAAAATTGTGATCAGAAGGAAAACAAAATTGCGGAAAACAAAAGAACAATGGGACGAAAAGGAGTTTTTGAGGTGTCGATGAATATGATAGGATCTAAAAGAGAATGATTTTCTTGAGCTTCCAATAAAATCAGAAGCAGACTCTCACTTCCATACAACTATATATATATTATGTGTATATATGTATGTGTATATTACACAGGAAATCGAAGAAATTAATAAGGGAAGGTTCACTGCCTCTGGTCCACTCTCTCTCTCTGTGTCTGCTCCGTCTCTTGCTTTGTTTTGTTCAAAAAAAAAATTTTTTTTTGAAGAAAAAGTTCAAGAACCCTAACTTTTTTCACGTTTTTTCTAAAGAATATCAGCCCCAAATTGAATACACACGTGATTTTATGCAAATAACCCTTGTAATCGGGTCACATGAGGGGTCACATGGGTTTTAACGTGGGTAATTTGACGGATCTGGACGGAAAGGACTTAATTGCACCTATTTAATGACGTTGGCGACCATTTTGCCAAAATTAAAAGAATAGGTACCAAACTGTCACCTACTAAAGAGGTAGGGACCATCCGTGCCAATTACCTTTTAAATCTTAAATAATCCTAATAGAACTCAAATAATCTTAATAGATAAACATTAAATAAAATAACTCTAATTCTAAATAGAATTCTAATCGTGTTCTCCATGGTGGCCCTGCATAATGCAGAATATTGAACCAAAAAGGAGGCTGATTCCAAATAGATAAATAAGTAGGTATAACTGTTTGCATGGTGCGGTCTTTGTTTCCAAATCACTTCTCTTTCTCTCGCTCTTGACATATCCTTGTAGAATATTGTACGGTAACAGCTATATATAGATTTCCATCCATGGTGCAGGGCTGTGCGCATTGCTCCTTTTTCCAACAGATTGGCTCATGGTGTTCCTTCAAGCATTCAAGGACTTAGATGCTTAGTGAATTTTGAAGCGCTAAGATTCTCAAAACCTATAAAGGGACTGGCAGAGAAAATGGTAGACCGTATGTTTAAGAAAAGCTACCAGAGTGGTGGAAAATATGTATCCGTACATCTCCGGTTTGAGGAGGTAAACTCTAAATATTTTCAAGTACAATCAATTTGGAGGCATTCATGGATTCCTTCTAAAAGGTGGTGTCCTCTTTCTAAAGGATATGGTTGCCTTTTCATGCTGTGAATATGATGGAGGGGAGGAAGAGAAACGCGAGATGGACATAGCTCGAGAAAGAAGTTGGAGAGGAAAATTCAGGAGAAGGGGTAGAGTTATAAGGCCTGGTGCGAACCGAGTAGATGGAAAATGCCCTTTAACTCCCTTGGAGGTATACACAGTTAACTTAATAACTTGTGTTCGAATTATATACATCTGATGATTGATAAAGTTTTCCTTTCGCACTTTAGGTCGGAATGATGCTCAGAGGCATGGGTTTCGACAATACAACCTCAGTTTACGTTGCAGCAGGGAAAATTTATAAAGCAGAAAAGTATATGGCCCCACTTAAACAAATGTTTCCCCGTTTAGAAACGAAAGATACGCTGGCTACCCCAGAAGAACTTTCTCCATTTAAGGTAACACTTGTCATGATCTGTATTTCCCCAAACCATCATTTTGGGCAAAAGAAGATAGGACTTTTGTAGTATCTTTTTACAATTTTCTTTTTTTATCTGGTGACCCAAACTACCAATCAATAGTTTGGCTGTTCCTATTTTTGATCATTAGATTGAAACTTCTGATGTAGGGCCACTCGTCCAGGTTGGCCGCTCTTGATTACACGGTTTGCCTTCACAGTGAAGTCTTTGTGACCACTCAGGGTGGCAATTTTCCCCACTTCTTGATGGGCCATAGGCGCTACCTGTACGGTGGACATGCGAAGACTATCAAACCGGATAAGAGGAAACTAGCCGTGTTGTTCGATAATCCCAAAATCAGGTGAACTGTTGTTAAAACACTCTTCTTTTGCCAAAGTATACAAGCATCGTAGGAAAACCATTTCACGATTTCATTTGTTCATTTGCTTAATGATCTTCTCCAGATGGGAAGACTTCAAACGACAAATGCGCGACATGCTTCGCCACAGTGATCAAAAGGGTATTGAATTGAGAAAGCCCAGTGGGTCACTTTATACATTTCCTATGCCAGATTGCATGTGTAAACAAGCAGAAGCTAGGACTGAAAATAGTAATACTACAAGACGCTTGTAACTTTCAACATAGCTTGTACCTTTCAACATAGAATTGCTCTCAATTACTTTTTATTTTTATTTTTTATAACACGTGTAGTCTATATTGTATTATTTCTTAATTCTTTTAGGGGTCTTGTACGCTAAAACAATTGTACATGGAACATGATAAATTATGGTAAAAATTCTTTCTCCTATCTTCTGGTTGCTATTTTCTTTTCTTTCGGTGACTGGACTGCCAAGTTCTAATTCTATGTTTTCCAAATCTCAGCTTTGCATGCACATATCCCCACCGCTTAATTCCTTTTGTAATATCAGGATCTAATCAAAATACTAGGATTCCAACAACCAAATTTGAAAAGAAACTTTATCGGTCCATCCCATTTGGAAAAGGGCCAACCGTAATCTTCAATGTTCCCATTACAAATAAAGTCCGCCCTCAACAAGAAGAGAGAGAGAGAGAGAGAGAGAGGAGTGAAAACAACAGCTTCCTCACAGCACATGAAACATTGCTTAATAACATAAATTTGGCAAAAGATACCTAAAAAAAGGCCCCAGATAAAGAGAGTCGCATTTTGCTTGTGGCACACGCATCTACCAATAGCGACATGTACATAGCTTTCTGGTGGATGGGGGTTCTTAATTAAACAATGGACTGCTTCTGAAAGGAGCAACCCTCTAACTAGCATTGAATTGCATGACTATACTTGTAATGCCACCAAACTAGTCTTTCTCTTGTGGGACTTCTAGTTAGGTCTTTGTAATAAATGCCCAATTCCAAGCCTCTTGCAAGCCAAACTAGACCTTTATACCACGCTTTTTGCTAGTTTTCTTTTTGTACACGAATAATTTTGGAAAATATTGAAACCAAACATTTGTATCCAATGAAGCAACAACCCAATGGCATTAGAGAGTTTATACCACTTTGATGCAGTTTATTTGGTTACAAATTAGCTAGACAAAGTCCCAAATACTTGCTACCAAAGCGGTACGCATTCAATTGAATAATAATACCTCTATTGACAAAGGTGGTACCAATTAATTCGTATTCTTGACTTGTTAATTAGATTTTATTTAGTTATTTATGATTTACTTACGTCATTTGTTGGAATCAAACACTATATATACTTGGTGTTTATCCCTCCGGAGTTTTTTATACATGCCTTATTCCACCGGAATTATACTTCCACTACGGCAAGTATATAAATTGATACACATATGTAGTCATGATTTTTAATCCCTTTTCTTTTTTAAGGGAAATTTCAATCCCTTTTAGATATAGCTAACCTCAATTGTAATTCTACTCTTGGCCTAAGAAAACACTTTCATATAAAGGGGAAAATATGGGAGAAAAAAATTCCATTTCCATTTCACGTATTCAATTTTTTCTCATGCAGACAATATAAAATAATAATAATAATAATAAAACAATTGTTATTGTGATCAAAGCCATCCATAAATAGAAGGGCTATATCCTTAACGAAAGTAGGAACCGACCTATCTTATCTAGTTGTCCATGCGTGCGAAGATGAGGAATTTTCCATCCAAATTCGGTGACGCATAATTCTTATTACAATTTATAGGAATGACCAAAACCGCTCCTATGTTTAAATGCTAGAATCAATCTTGTGTTTTTAAGAATGTTGAGATTATTCTATGTGTTTTTTAATAACACAAAGTTTACACTTTCTGTTTTCATTGTCACACAAAATTCACTTCGTTCATATTTAGGCAAACTTAATTGTGAGAAAATATACAATTATCTTTATAATAAAAGATATAATAGCGCTTTAAGAGAGAAATTCCAAAGCAGTAACCTTGATCTTCAAAATTTCTTGCATTTGTGAATAATTGGCTTCCATTTTTTTTTTTCTTTTTAAAAGTTTAACTTTTTTTTTATAGTTGCAAAGTTCATGTACTTTGTTGTCCTTAAAATAAAATTCATGGTTTTGTATTGCAAAAATATACATATATATTTACGTAATTAAATTTGACTAATTCTGGCATTAAAGGTGAATTTTGTGGGATAAAAAAGTTACCGGGGTGAATTTTGTCTTATTAAAAGAACATCTAATAACATAGTAGTAGATTTTGTCTGATTATAAAAGACAATCTCAGTATTTTTAGACAATCTTGACAGATTACAATAGTTCAATCTGTTCAGTATCCCTACGTTATATTCTTATAACGGGTGCGTTGAAAATTTGGAATAACATGCTCATTTCCTTTTTTTTTTTTTTTTTTTTTTTTTTTTTTTTTTTTTTTTTTTCTCCATGGTATGCGAGATAATAATATTTCTCTTTATCCTAATGTCAAGCCGAAAAAGGGCCGAAAGAAAAATTCTTTTTATCCTAACATATTTAATCAGCGAAAGGACTTTTCAGTGTTATATATCTTATTCGGAAGAGGGAAAAAAGTGGCTGCGTTTAATTTTCAGAAATGTTTGCTATAAAATAAGTTTTGCTTTCATATTAACGTACATGAAAGGAATTATGAAAGATACCTGCCGACCATGATAAGGCAAAATTCTCCATTTATTCCAGTTTATCTTTTTCTATCAGATAAGACCATACTAAATATTGTTTTAAATAGCTAATTCCAAAAAAAAAAAAAAATGATTTTAATCCCGCATATGACATATCTCCTTATCCATGAAAATATCACAATCCATGTAAAAAACAAAAAAAAAAAAAAAAAAGTAAAAAACCAAACTTTGCAACCTACCAATTATTTTTTACTAGTCTGTTGTATCAACCAATGCTTCGGTGTGTCAAAGTTAATTTTGCAGCAGTGTTACATCATTACAACCAGATACTTCCAAATGCTATCCAAGTATTTGATGGCACATATATACCTTTTATGATTATACTATTGCACGGAATCTACTTGGCGTTGAGAGTTGAGCCAATAAATGAAGTATTTTGACATTTTCCACACAACAATCTTCTCTTGGTTATTATTGTTACATGACAACGTAAATACCGAAAGTAAGCAATCAAAATTTTTTTTTTTTTTTCCCTCTGGTTGGTAGAAACCATGTGGCTCAAGTGATGTTCGATATCTTGAACTGGACTTGTTATTGCCCTTCTCTCTCTCTCTCTCTCTCTCTCTCTCTCTCTCTCTTGTTTTTCTTCTTAAAGGGTCTCATGACTCACCCCGTTTAGAAAGAGAAAGAAAAGAGGAGCTAAGAAGACAGGCCCACAAAAGGAGGCGAATATGACGTAAAAAGTAGAGCTACCTACCAAAACTCAGCCCCATCTGTAACTACTAATTAACCACTTGTCTTTCTCACACCAACAAATAATAAAAGGTCAAATCTCTCTCCCCTCTTCCGACTCCTCTTTCCATTCCTCATTTAGAGCCCTTTTTTCTCTCTCTGTCCATCCTTTCCCTA